GATGAAAACGAGGCTGTGAGCGACAGCTATTGAGGTCCTAGATCACAGAAGTCTTTTGTAAAGACGTTTCGTCAGCTGAACAATCAATACGTCACTAAACAACTGTACAATCCACTGAGCGCACAGTGTACTTCATTCCTGTCAGAATCTGTGTCTGTGCCTCACTTGTAAAAAATGAAATGGGGAGCTTGAAAAATGAGAAAAAAATCATTTTACAGGTGGTACGAGTTTTTTCATTCTTATGAAATATTATGAAGACACATCTGGAATAATGATGACTCATTCACAATAAGACAAAAAATAAACGGTGCATTCTGTAGGTACATTTCATGGTGACTGTAGTTAAATGTGTTCGTATTGATGCATCTATGCTTGAGTTGAGAGTGTGGCGCTTTAAGGCTTGCAGTGAGTGTGGATTGTGAATGGATCAACCTCAGTTTATAAATTAATCTCATTAACACATCCAAACGTGAAAGGTCTGATTCTTGCGCTAAGGCACGGCTGCGTAACATCTGAAGGTTAAAAAAACGAGCAAAAGGGATTGAGCCATATGCCACTGTGTTAATTCATAACATATGAGAGAGAGGCCTGAGATAGTGTAGGAATGAGGCCAGCGTCACAATCATGTGAATGAAGCTCAGAACCGATGAGATTCACGTTTACCTGGAGCTCAGGCTAAACGCTCATAACAGAGCGTCTGATTTCTGCACAGAGGCATGATGGGAGCCGTGAGATGCCCAGGCCGGACACAATGGTCTTTTATGCATGCAGATGAGTTGCAGTTCCTCCAAACTGTGTGTCCTTGTGTCTCCATCCTCTCATGCTAAAGGCCTCTCCACACCAGACGAAGAGACAGGCCTCTCGCTGAGAACAGAGCTTCTCATACACGAGACGAGCGTTCAAAATACAGACCCAGGCCTTCAGATGCTTCTGTTGGGCTATTTTTATTTCTTTTTTATAGCAAGACACACCGGATGAATGTGGTAAACATTTTAACTGATATACATCACCATAACTGCCCCAGATGATTGATGAACTGTTTTGTATCACGTTTTCTCAAAAGTTCTCTACACATACAAATGAGGCACTATCTAATGAAACATGCTTTCATCTGTTTTTTACACAGATTTATATTTTTTTTTAAATCAGAAAATACCGTCAGATAGGGGAAAAAAATGTTTTTAATGAAATATTAAATATATATCAAGCTAATTATATATGGACAAAACCCTCAGAATATAGACAGGCATAAAACTGTAAAAGTGCTGCTGAAGTGGAGAAAAAACTCACCGCCTTGTAATTCAAACCTATAGAGGTAAATAGATCAAGTTTAATAAAACAAAAACATATTTTTAGAACGCTGGGAAAAATTGAATTAAATTGAATTGATTTGTTTAGGATGCTTTCTTTCCACTAGTCTGTTCTAGACATGTTACAGAAGCAAAACAGACCTAAATCTCAAAAGTGATCAGTGCGTGAAAAACACTATAGTTTTGCCTTAATGCAAACATTTTTTAATTAGATTAGTGGTATTACATTCCAAAATGAATGTGACTTTCATGATCATTTTCTCCAGGATGATTTGAGCATCACGCTCAATCACATGACCAATGACACATTTGATTACATGTTCTCAGACATGCTGAAAGCAAGGCTTCATGAAGAATGACCATAAGTTCTGGTTTATGGGAATCACGTTGCCTTTGTGCTTCTGTCAGTCACTCGTAAGAGCAAAGGATGATGGGCAGGAAACCACACTTAGCTTTAATTTCCTGCTGGAGCCGGGCCCATGCCAACTGTGCTTCACCAGCACCGACACACACGCTCTTCAGAGCCTCGTGCTTCTGCTCACACAATGAAACAGCCCCAGCGAAGTGCTTGAGCATTAGAGCGCTCTCGAATGTTAATGTCATCTGTGAAGGCGAGCGCTGTAGCCCACGGCTCGATGAGCGACACTGACCCCGGCTACGGTTTCACTAATCCACCCTCACAGCGCCGACTCCCACGGCATTTCCTCGCCTGGAAAACCCATTAATGCAAGCCCAGCACTCCTGGAGTGGCCGACGAGGAGATTCAGGAGTGAAGCAGAGATTCGGAGCCATGAACCTGCTGCGATCTCAAACGCAATCGCTCGTTGAAGCACTGTCTGGCAGGCGCATCAGAGTCAGCTGGGTTGCTGTACTTTGTTCAGCTGTTCATGAAGCAAAGGGTGTGTTGTGTTGTTGAGATCTTTGCTCTCTGAGTCCTGAGAGAATCCAGGCAAACCGTTAAGAGTCTGGGATCGGGATTCTGCTCTGGGCTGCATTTGGTTGATAAAACAGTAATATTGGGAAATGCTACAATTGAAAATAGCTGTTTTCTATGTGAATGGATTTTAAAATGTATTTTATTTCTGTGATGCAAAGCTGAATTTTTCAGCAGCATTACTCCAGAAAACAAACTAATGTGTGAGCACAAGCTGTGATTGAAGAACTCTTCAAAATATGATTTACATTGAATGATTTCATCATTACAAACCTGCATGACTAACTTCTGAGGAACACAAAAGAAGACGCTTTGAATAATGCGCCTGTCACTTTCTCCCATTTGATAACAATAAATAATTGAGTTGTTTTTGTCACTTTTGTGAATTTATATATATGTTTATATTATTTAATAAAAGTGACAAAAACAACACAATTACTAAAACGGTAAATGTAAAATTAAAAAATAAAAATGAATGTAAACTATTAATATAGACTATAATAGCGTCAAAGGCACTAAAATAACACTTCCTAAATGATATGATGAATTGCACGAGGAACAGACTGGAATTTAAGTCGTTAATTCATCAATAATCTCTCTGGTATGTTTGTGACTGAAGTATAGCGATGTCTAACCTCTGAATGAATCTTCAACTTTTCAACAAATCGCTTGATTCAACTCAGAAAATCAGGGAGAGGAAGACCATCAGTGAACAGTCACTTTCCTTTCAGTCTGTTGCTCACACAAACCATCACATGACTTCAGAAACACACTGACTTCAGTCCTCATTCACTGTCACTCAACTGAAAAGACTAAAGAGCGAGCGGCACATTATTCAAAACAAATCTGCGGGTCTGTTTGTGAAAGGAGAGAAACAATATTTCTAAAGTAGCAAGATTCCAGTTCAAACGTATAGAAAAACAACGAATCCAGTAAGAAAATGACTGATGATTGTGAAGCTGTAAATGTGAGTAACTGCTAAACACTGTGTTTTTGCTGCATTATACATATTTAACTAACCGGCAGGTTTGGAAAATGAAACTGTTGTGGGTTAATTCTTCAGTAAAACCTCTTCATATGAGCCCGGTTTAGTCTGCAGAATCATTAGAAGGCTGTTTTTCTTTTTCTTTTGTGGGCTGAAGCTGGAAGAGGCGCAGCAGAAGCGAGTGGAAACATCATTCTGCAGATCATGCGTGGGCCGCTTTGTGTGGTGCTCGGGGGGAAGGCAAGGCCTGGATTCCCAGACAAACATCGAGCCGATCCTCGCGGAGGGAGAGGAAGCAGGACTTGAGCAGCGTTAGCGGTCAGGAGGGACATCGCCGCTGCTGCTGCTCTCTGATAAACACATACAGTTAAACGCTTCTTAAAATAGACTGAACTGAACGTTCACTCTGCCAGAACACAAAACCACCTCGCTCGTGCTGAACACAGAAACGTCATCAAGATATCTACAGCAGAAATCACTGTCTGCGTAACACTCAAACTCACATTCAGATACGCCTCTGACCAACGAATGTCTTGCCATACTTTTTTTTTTCTCTTTCAATAAACTGGTAAAGGAATAGTTCAGCCACAAACGAAAATGTGCTGAACATTTACTCAACCTCAGGCCATCAAGATCAGGATGAGTTTGTTTCTTCATCAGGTTTGTAGAAATGTAGCACTGCATCAGTGTCTCAGCAATGGATGCTCTGCAGTGAATGGGTGCCGTCAGAATGAGAGTCCAAACAGCTGATAAAAACATCACAATCATCCACAGCACTCCAGTCCATCAGTTAACATCTGGAGAAGACAAAAGCTGAAACACATCCAGCATTAAGACGTTTTTAACTTCAAACTATTGTTTCCGGCTAAAATACGAACTTTAAACTAAAACTGTCAACCCTGTTAGCTTTCTGAAGACACTGTTATATTCTGACATTATTGTTTATTATGTGGTTGGTTAATTATTATGTGGTTCTGTTGTGGGTCAAATTGACTCTTCTCTCACCAAACACACACACACACACACACACACACACACACTGAACGAGCGGCGAGTAACTGCCGATTGTAATTAAAGGCTTGTGTGTTTTCCATGAGCGTTGCGCACTCTTCATTGGGTTTGTTTGCCGCTCACCTGAACTAGAGCGAACTCATTCACCTGGAAACAACATGACAGTGAACACACGCTCAGCGGTGACCGTCAGTCTACAGACGTGTGGACAGATTTATGTGCAATATACATTCAAGAAAAACTACAGTAAAACAGACTCGTCATGAACTCTACAGCCACCTGCATCTCCAACGGCAAAAATAACCAGATGAGTAGTTTGAAAACAAACTTTGATATCGTCTTTAGTTTAAATTAATTTAAAAAAACTTTGGTTTGAATCAGTCAATAAAATGTAGTTAACATGTTTTAAGATGTTGCTAACATCTTTCTAGCATTTTTACACATTGCTAACGTTTTCGGATGTTGTTAGCATGTTTAAACGTGCTGTTAGCCTGTTTTTTTAACGTTATTAAAATGTTTCTATCATAACACATTGCTAACATGTTTTCCCTTGTTGTAGAATTTTTTGACAGTATCACAGTCACAGTATTGACATGATTCAATGTAATAAAAACATTACATAAAGTAATTCACTATACGACTCGAGCTCTTAAACCATCACTTTGTTACAGCACAGCTTAAACGCTAATCAGTATTCAGGACCACTATCAGTTTCACAATTTACAGTAATATACAGAAAGAACAACAGTAAGCACACCATGCTAAACAAACACATTTTACTGGCATGGACAACAAGTGAAACACATCAAAACTGTAAAAACTGTAAAAGCTTCATTTGAAAGAAGAAGCATTGAGTTACATAGAAGATGAGACAGTATAACTCAAAACAGCAAAAGTTAATTAAAAAAAGACAACTTTAAAGTTAATGTAAAACAGGACAAACGCATACTACTTTATCTAGGAAGTACAGAAAGAAGGCTTCACGTTTTGATTTCTCTAAACAGATTTCAGCCAAGCATGAGTTTCAGCTTGTGGTTTAAGGTTGGATTACAGCAGAGCTGATGCTACAGCCTGCAGCACATCCACACTCAGCACAGTCCTCCATCCTCACACTGCTGTTACTGCAAAACTACACACAAACATCTGCCACCAAATAATACAGACTCTGTCATTTAATTCACTCTCATCACGGTGGCTCTTTAACATAAACATGTTGGGACAAGAATTAAGTTTTAACATGGTTTGTGAGCTGTAAACTGTTTGAGGAGGTGACAGTGAGGTAGCTGTAGCTCCAGTAGACGGTTGCATCAGTTCTCAGACACGGACTGACGCTGCATCTCCATACACTCCTTCAGTTTATCCTCAGTCAGAGTCAGTCGCTGCTCCAGAATGGCCACCGTCTACAAAACAAGAACAGAACAGTCATGAGATTGATTAACAGTGTCACTTTCAGTCAATGTTAAAAAAAAAAAAAAATGTAACTACGAGTTGGTGTATGAACCTGTACAATTTGTTGTGTATGAAAACAAGATTTTTTAGAAAAAGGCATGACCTAACCCTCAGTGTGGCATAAGAGATCTTGCAACTGGTCACGAATGATCATACGAATGAGATGCATTTTAGCAGTAAAGTTCTGGAAAGCGATTTTGTGCCTCTCTTCGGTTTCTGTGGTACCATCTCTGTGCTGGAAGAGCATTGCAGTAGTCCAGTCTAGAAATAACCAGGTCCTGGAAGAGGAGTTGGGCGGTCTGCTCAGTTAGGAAGGATATTCCTGATGTTGTGCAGTGCAAATTTATATGCTGGTCAGCATAGATTAGCCCATCATTTCTGGCTGTTGAAGATTCTAGCTGGATGATGACATTGTGCTGTACAGTTGGATATGCTTGGAAGACTAAAGTTCTGTCTCCGCAAGATAGAGTTGCAGGTGATGACAGGTTTCATGTATGCCAAGATGTCTGCCAGGCAGTCCGAGAGCTACTGTGAGACCATCTGGCTGAAAAGAAAGATAAAAATTTGTGTCATCAACATAGCAGTGGTAGGAGAAACCATGTGCCTGTATGATGGGTCCCAGTGATGTAGTGTATATGGAGAAGAGGAGGGGTCCTAGAACAGATCCTTGATGAACCCCCCTGACCAGATGATGTGCTTTCGACTCTCTCTCTCTCTCTCTCTCTCTCTCTCTCTCTCTCTCTCTCCTCCAGGCAACCCTGAAGGACCTACTTGTGAGATAAGATTCAAACCAGAGAAGTGGAGTTCCTGTGATGCCCAGTGGTGATCAGAAGTTGGACAGAAGGATCTGATGGTAAACGATGATTTGGAATCAGGTTTAACAAGCCAAGGGGGTTCAGTGACTGAGAGCAAGGAAGTCTCAGTTGTGAGTGACCGCTTAAATCCTGATTGATTGTTGCCCAGCAGGTTGTTTTGTGAAAGGAAAGATGATTCCTAGTGGAAAACATCTCATTCAGATGTTTGAATGAGAAGAGAAAGAATTTCCGTAAAGTCAAGTGAAGAGTAGGTCAAGCAGTAGGGTTACCCAAGCCTGCTTGAATGCAGTACTGCATTTTACCTTATTTAAAGGGGCATAACATTTTTTTAGTTACTGTTATATTCAATTATTATCAAAAATGCCATTAGGTGGTAATTTAACACTCTGAACATCTGACTGACACACTGCCAAAACACTGATTTTCTTTACATATGTTGTTTCATGAACAATCCATGCTGAAGTATGCAAAACAAATATATAATCCCATGAACAGGCCATTCGTTAAAATGTGTTGTTACAGTAAGAGTGTTTACAATTCATCCTGTTCTGGCCTGTACTGGGCGCCAGTTTGGGAAAAAGTGTAAAGGACAAGCGAAGTCGTTGACGTGTTGCTCTGGAGGCGGTCTTGTGCTGACACATTCTGCAGTGTGACATCATAACGTGGGGAGGCACAGAGCGAGTCGTTTTTGCTGCTGGATTCAATAAATGAGGAGGAGGGTTTGAGTTCCAAAGCATACTGTATAGTATGTTTTCATAGTATAATAAACTCTTACTTTCAAACAAGCAAACAAAATCTAATGCTTTAAACAGGCTAAGTGATGAGGAATCAAATATGCCTTGATAACGTCATATGCAAAGATGACAGCAAATCATAACAATGGGTATTTACAGTTTCTTAAAGGGCAAGAAGCCCTAAAATATATGTAATAAAAAATGCATGATGTGTCCATGATAGTGTGAGAAGCTAAAGTTTCAAAGCATCTCAGTACTGAGCTACTCAGATCGATTATGACCGCATGGAAAAGGAACAGAGTGAAGAACCATAAGGAAGCAAAATAAAGGACGAAGAAAAAGTGAGGGAGGGAAAGACATTCAGATTCAAGCGTGGGAGGGAGTCATAATCCGTCGTCACAAGAATGCATGAATGGCATCTATTTTGGCCGGCCCCAAACAGATGTGCCGTTCTCCTCGTAGACAAACCCGTTGATTATGCGGGTGGAATACGAGCCACCTCGTTCATGGCATGAGGCAGAAACCGAACACCACATCCTCTATGTGGGGCGGAAGCACAGACGGACCCCTCAAGAAAGCGGCCTTCTCTGAGCGCGGCTGGAGAGGAGGTGAGGAATGGAGGCAGGGTGTCTCGTGCCAGGGTCAGCATGGCGTAGTGTGCTCATGGAGAGGAACACACTGACCTTAATGTAGTCTGGGGGCTGGGCCATTCACAACAGCACATGTGCAGTAGGAGCACTGAGAGAGAGCGTGTCCTCGAAACAAGCTCCCCGGGAGAGATGAACAACTACCGCTCATGCGTCGCTTTCCTTACACTCAGTCCAAGATAGAAAGCTGGCAGCTCTTGAGAGGATATTACATTAAAGAAACCATTTGTCACAACTGATTTTAATTTAATGCCATCCAAACCTCATTATCAGTGCTATAACCTTGATATTCTAAAATATTCTTTCTCCCCCAAAAAATACACTCTAGGCCCAAATGAAAAAAAAACGGTTTAAAAATAGCCGCTTTTCCACTATCAGGCCAGTGTAAGACACGGATAATAGCAGGTCAGACGGGGCATACAGCCTCGGACTTTGAGCCCTGGGGTCAAGAATCAAGCTGTGTTTCACTGTCTGGCCAGCAGCCTCAGAATGCTACTCTAAAACCTGTCCATAACACGCCTCCATAGGACAACCTCACACAACCCCACCATCACACCAGTGAGGGTAAGATGAGTAGATAAAGACCTAACGCTCCAGCATTGATATCAGACTAATGATAAAACCTTACAGTGACAGTAATCTGTTAATTTGTGTCAGTAGTGCACATCAAACATGCTTAATAAAACTGATATTTCTCATTTTCACATAAAAAGAGAACACACAGGAATGCACAAAACAAATCCATTAGGACTTTTAGGTCCATAGGCATATACACATCTTTCCTATCTCACTATACTGTTATCCTTTCAGCCAGAGCGACAGAGGGAGCTCACGGACAGAAAACCGGAGTTATGATGTAATTTATTAAATATGCAGATGCAGGAGTTTGGTATCAACAAAGTCATAGAGAAGAGACAAAAGAAATATGAGAGCAAATAAATACAGGATTATAATCATATTAGCTTGTTTTTAATATGAAGTACTTTAAGCAAAATGTGGATTCATTATAGCAATGGTTAACACATGCAACTTTTAGCATCGCATGTAAATCTATAAATAATATATTTCTGTCTCATATGGTTATAAGATTCCCCCGGATTGCAAATGTAAGTTATTTCTGACACTCGCTGGTGTCTGACAGTGAGTTTTGAATGTTGATGTTAGCTGGTGGCCTGATATAAAAACATGACATAAGTAGCGGTTCTTGTTGTCTCCAGACTCAGATAAACTTTGTTCATGACCACTCCTCAGGCCCCAGTTGGCCTGCTTTGGACCAAGGAAATCAGCCAGCCAAAAACCCCTGGCTGTTGGCCCCAAGGAAGCCCCAACGAGGCGTGATCAAGCCCCTGAAGTGACAGTGGAGATGCCTGGTCCTGGCACACACTGGTAAGCTTGCTTTTGGCTCAATTTTGGAAATGTGGCTAATCAGGAGTGTTTCTTATGCCGAGTTCACACTGCACGATTTTAGCCCGATTTTTCACTCACCGACAGTTTTTGCGAAATCGCCGACAAATGCCCAAAATCGGAGGCAAATCGATGCTCGTTCACGCGAGTGACAATCACGCAGTGTGAATTATCAAAGACGCGATCTGAGGGAATCGCCAACACGTCGCCGACGCCCGCGAAATATTTGGCATGCTAAATATCTGGAGCTGTCGGCGATTCACAATCACGCAGTGTTCACAGTGTGAATTATCAAAGATGCGATCTGAGGGAATCGCCAACACGTCGCCGACGCCCGTGAAATATTTGGCATGCTAAATATCTGGAGCTGTCGGCGATTCACAACCACACTGTGTGCAATGATTTCTGACTGAAAAACACATCGGCAATGACTTACAGCCAATGAGAGAACAAGATACAGGGCAGAGGGGAGTTCGGGGAGGAGTTATATGAAACGTAGTTTGCGGACCAGTGTTGCCGCCGGTTATTTTTTATGTCAGCAGGTTCAAGCGACCCCAATAACGTGATATTTAGGCCCTGGAATGTGAATTGTACCAGGAGAACCCCGCCAAAAAAATGTGTATTTTACCCCCGAACGCAATTTTTACTGGGGGACCCCCTCGAAAGCAATTGGGTTATTTTCAGGCTAGTTTTGAGTAGTAAATAGGAGGGTTTTGTAGCGAAAACCTGGCAACCCTGCACCAGACAGAGCTGTCGGCGATTCTTCCTATTGTAAAGTCATGCAGTGCGTAACCTCCTGTCGTCGTTCCATCGTGCAGTGTGAACACAGCAGCAACTGAATGCTACCCCAGATAGTCGTTCAGTGTGAAACCAACAGTGATGCGACGTCTTTGAAAATCATGCAGTGTGAACTCGGCATTACGGACATGTAAAGTCTAAGTGTAGCCTAAAATTAACCCTTAAAAGTAGCATCTCTAAGCTCATCCGCCTTAAACGCCTAAAACAAAAAGTTAACAAAACATCCAGATCAATGTGGCCACATGCTCAAGTAACACATCCTTCTAAATCAGTGGCATTATTGTGACATTGTGCCATCTTCTGCTCTCTTGGAATAATTTTTAATAACACACTGGGAACTGATCACTATCCTTGGGTCACAGTGTTTGATGGGATTGAGCTCTGGACTCTGTTCAGCCAAATGAAGCTCTTTCACACCCACCTTGACAAACCATTTCTTTATGAGCTTCCTGTTATGCCTGGGAGCACTGTCGTAATGAACCAGGAAAGGGCCGTCCTCAAACTGTCGCCACTCATTTACAAAGCACAGCATTGTCTAGAATGTCGTGAAAAA